TGTAAGTCTTTTTTCTCCAACTGGCGGCATCAACCTCTAAAAAAAAAGGAGGCATCAACCTCTAAAAAAAGAAAAGAAGGCCATGGCTTTTTTGTAGTTTTTGAACCCTGAGTCCATGTTTTTTTTTAATATTTCAACTCTTACTTGCCTTTCCCCCCTGAATATATAATATACTTCTTCCGTTCCTAAATGTAAGTCTTTTTTCTCCAACTGGCGGCATCAACCTCTAAAGCCAGATCGAGGAGGATTTTGCTGCATGGCACTTGCATAATCATGGAATTTTCTCCGTGGAAAACATGTATTGTTTGGCTCTGGAACAACATATGCACACTCTTATGTGTATTTTTTTGGGACTCTTATATATAATGTAGTAATTACTGTTCATAAACTATCTTTATAGTATTTCCGCGCAATTTTCTTTCAATTGACGACATCAACCTCTAAAGCATCTATAATAAGATGATTTAGATGCAAAAATAGCTAACTTTTGCATCTTCGAGGGTCCAAAGCCCCTCTCCAATAGATGATGTAGATGCAAAATAAAATTACATCTCCGCGTCTCGGAGATGTAAATGTAAAACACAACACTTCAAGATGCAAATTCGCATCTCCACCTCTAGGAGATGTAAAAATGGAGGGTGAGCGCCAACCGCCCAACTACCTTCATATCCTTTCCGCCCGACAGCCTGCCGCCTGCTCCGCCGTCGGCCGATTTGCCCAAAATTGATGCCGCCGCTGCCCGCCCCGCCACGACTGCGTGCCTCGCTAGAGTAGCGACGGCTGTCCCCTGTATCCGCTGATTCGATTTCGGCCGCCGCTTCTAATCGAAGCTTCACCGGAGGTCCGGCTATCGCAATGGCTTCCATGGCACGGTCCCGCCTTCTTTTCTGTAGGGCTACGGCCGTCTCCTCTGTCGAGCTGCCGCCGCCGCCCGCACAAGCCACTGCTGAACGGCTACCCAATCCGCAGCCGACCAATTTCTTCCACCCCGCAAGCAAGGTGTTCGAGAAATTCCCCCAAGGTAAAAAATCGAGCAAACTTGAAGTTTTTATTGAGGTTGGAGAGGTAGTTTGACAATGATTTTCCGCATTGTAGATGAGCTTGTGCAACTCCTCTTTCATGGATGATTCCTCGTCGGATGAGGAATATGACTTTATCGAAGACGAGGACATTGCTATGTTAGTGGCGATGCATAAGAGGAAGAAGCCGAAGCACGGCGATCCTGTGTATGGTCGTGAGTTCATCTGGAGAGAACGGGTTGAGGCGCACAAGAGGTTGATGCGCAACTATTTTGGTTCACCACCCGTTTTCCTAGAGAGGTACTTCCGACACCGGTCTAGAATGTCCAAAGATAAGAAGGTGTATAATGAAATTAGAGACTCTGATGCGCACGATCAACTTCAGAAGGATTTGATGAAGGAGTATTGAAAATGGCATGACGAAAGAGCTGCCTATTTTCATTATTTGTTTGTTGTATTGTGCAACATTTTGTTGTCTTTGTGTTGCATTTGATCTTGCAGATTTGATTAATTATGTAATAATTTGATCTTGTGGGCATGTAAATTTTTTAAGTTGTTTCTGGATGCTTTATTTTAATTTATGCGGCTGTACAGTAGTTGTACAATAGCCGTGCAATCATTGGCAGCTTTTTACATCTTCACTTTTTATTATCTATTGCAGTTGCTTTTTTACATTTCCAATATACATCATCTGTTGAACTTGCTTTTTTTTAAATGTAAAAATTATTTTTTAAGATAATTTTTTTATGTTTTATATTCACATCTTTAAATTTGTATCTTTTATTAAAGATGCTCTAAGGCTAGATCGAGGACTTTGCTGCATGACATTCGGATTAGTCTGAAATTTTCTTCGGCGTATTGTTTGGCTGTGGAAGAATATATGCACACTCTAAACGTGGGAGCTATAAGTGCTCGGCGTCGGCTCTTGTTCAAGGTCCGCAAATGTTTTTTTTCTATTTTTTAATACAGTATAGACGCAAGCGTTCATATACACGTACATACATTCACCCCTATAAATGCACACACGTACATCATATCCATATAAGCACTTCTGAAATATTGAGCCGACATATCATTTTGAAATTTACGAAGTCACCGTAGGCACCTCGTCTTTGACGGGAACGTCTCCTCTCATTGATTACGCATCATCAAAAATCCTGACATAAATCCAGAAATAAATGCGAGCACCAGAATTTGAACCCTGATGGGCTAAGAATAATACGGTCCCTCTAACCATCCAACCACAGGTTACTTCGCATATTTTTTCTAGTTTTGAACCATGCGTCAACGGATTGTTTTTCAACTCTTGCATGCCATTTTTCTTGCTCTTGATATATTGTTT